ACGATTGGTTCATACGCCATTTGTTCCCGCAGGATACTGGAGCCCATGTGCACCATTGGTTTGGAATCCGGTTAAAGCGCCGGACATTCGCTTTTCGTCCTCTCATTTTCGTAAGCAACACCCCCGCCAAGAGAAGGCAATGACTGGGACTTCCCTGGCAGAGGTTGTATACGCGCGCCCTAGTGAGAGTATTTCGAGAGGGAGAGCGGACTCTCCCCACTCTCGGCCGTACCAGGGCATTCGGGTAATAATAAAGAATTTCGTAATTAGATGAATAATGATCCGGTGATTAGTATCAGAAGGGGTTTTGTGGAGATTGTAGTAATTTAAACAGTTGAGATCATGAGTCCATTGAAGCTTGACCCCCGTGGAAAACCTGGAAGCATTGGATGGCTGTTTCGTCCTATTGTGGGGCTCCTCAGTAGTGCGCATTCACGATCCCGCCTCGATAGATTCTAACCCAAGACCTATAAGTCTCACGCGCGAGGACTTAACCACTAGACCGCTGAGACGGCCGACATCCGACAGTGTTGATGTTTAACTTCAACTAATCCACGAAATCGAGCGACACATCCAACATTGTCATCAGTGAGTTACTACCTCACAACAGACCCGGTTGAACTCTGCTGGTCACTGCTTCTCACTAGAACTTCAGGATATATATCTTGAAGCTAGTCACTAGTGTGTCGCTCAATTTCGTGGATTAGTTGAAGTTAGACATTAACAACATCAGATGCCGGCTCAGTGGTCTAGTTGGTTAAGCGCCTGACGCGAGACTGATATGTCCCGGGTTAGAATCCGTCGAGGCGGGGTCGTGGATGCGCACTGCCGAGAAGTCCCACAATAGGACGAAACGACCATCCAGTGCCTCCAGGTTTTCCGCGGGGGTCTAGCTTCAATTGACTAATGATCTCAACCGTTTAAAGATCCAGTGATTCTTGGTTTTTGATAATTATTCGGATGAAGTCACTACTACAAACCAGACAGTTTTCATACTCCCTGTAATAATGAAAAGGATTATATGTTCGGAATACATCTTGTAGAAAAAGAATAAAATCTCAGGATGTAATAAAATGAATAAATATTGAAAATTGAAATTTAGAAGATGAGGAATAAATACTGCCTTTCAGTTTTTTATGACGATTCTTACCAGTATTTCAAGAAAAGTATTATTTTTTCTTTGGTTAAAGTTTAACCAACGTAAATAATGCTTTAACTTATTTCACTCTTTACAGTTAGATTGAAAATCACTGCAAACTGTAATCAGAAAAAAACTACTGAGAACAGTTTCATCAATCGGTGAAAATTTTTAAAGAAATTTCCACATTGGATTATATGACTATTACATAATATATTGTGAATGGTTCAAGTGTAATTTATTTTCACGCTATAATAAACTTGAGTGATTCCTAAAAATGTTCCAGTTTTATTTAGACTATAATTAGAGTCAAAATGCTTCCGTATGTACTGATTGTCTGTTGGTGTTAATAGGAGACGTTTATTAGCCAGTATTCATACGACTAAAGTTATATCTGAACATAAAGTGAACAATAATTTAAATACCAATTTCATGGTTATCTAAATGAATATCTCAGTCTAAAGTCTATATTTATATAGTCAAACCAATATAGTACAACTTGTCACTTAACAGATGACTTATGAAGTTCTAAACTATATAATAATCCTTCGAGTCTAGCAATTGTACCAAGTACCATTTTTCTATATCGTTAAACATCAACTGTGCTAGTCTGTTTGTGTGAAGTAATATCGTATAAAATTATGAAAAAACCAGCATATTTTGTGCACAGAACTGACACGAATATAATCTGCTGTTCTTGACATTATTATTGTGTCGTCTAAGATGTTTATCCTTTATAGAATTCACCACATTGTATTCCTAAATTCATATGAATAATAAATGACATCTAAATGAATGAAAACACAGGCGAGGAGAACCAAATGTATTTTTTAATTACAGAGTTCTTTGGTACAATATGAAAACCATACGTTCAATCCTTCATTTGAAAATGCTCTATCAGTTGTCCCAAACTTGATCGTATCTTTATTGTAACAACAATCACTCTCTGTTCCTGTTCTCTTCAATTCGATATTTTCAAACTTCTGCCGTCAGGCATCCCACTTTTGACTGGTGTTATATATTACTTAAGTCGACATAAGTGGCATAAAGGAAACTTTCCCCCGTTTAAACAGTCGCTCTTGCCGTGGTTCCGCTCACCGCGCCCCTTTCGTCTTTACCGCAGTCTGTGAGACGCTCTCCGTTAGAATGCGGAGTTCACCGGCGCGCTGACCTCCGTAAGGATGTCGACCTGCTGGGTTCATTTAAAAGCTAAATTCACCCAACAGCCGAGACGTTTAGCGACCTGCCGAGCCATCCTATTGCTCCTCTCCGTCGACAATAAGTGCTACAGCCAACTCAACCTCATCAAGACACTCCACTCACTGCAACTTGTCGCACTAAACCACCCTAACCAGAGCCTTTTCTACTCAGCCCCACAACTGCATTCACAGAACTACGCTTGCCCGGACTTCCCTTTAGCAACAAATGTAGTGAACGTGAATAAAGGTGTGGACAACCAAATGTATTTATACAAAATTACAGAACGTTTTTTGTTAAATATGAGAACCATAAATTGAATACTCCATTTTCAACTTTCCATCATTCATCCTTTACATTCTATATGATATTTCTTATCCGCAATATCTTTCAATTTTTTTCTTTCTCTTTAACTTGATCTTCTTAACCTTTTGTTGCCAATGTTACAACATCTGATTAGTATTACATACTAAGTAAATTTGTCGACATAAATAGAATAAACCATACTAACTGTTCAATTTATATAATAAATTGGTATTTAATTAAGAAGAAACTGTTAATTCCTTTTTTTAAATTTTATAACTAATTACCTTCCCCCCCATCATTCATTAATTTCATTCTTCATCTAAATTAAACTGACACTTTCCAGATTAAATTATTCAAATGTTTTTTTTGTTTTCTATTATCAACTAAGAAATTTCTCTATTTTATTTCTCATTTCTCATTTCTATTCTCCCATTATATTTATCTAATGATGTTTGTTGATTAAATTCTGTCATCTTATTTCTTTTTTTTCTTTTTTTCTCTTATAAATATCAGGAAAAAAATACTCATAAAATGAAGTGAAATAAAAAGAAAAATAGACCTGAATAGTTTCTCTCTATTTTTTTTCTAATTTCTTCATTTAGATAATTAATTAGTTGTTGACACAGGTTGCCATGTGTATGAATTCATTAGTGTGTCATTAAATTGAAACTAAGACCTAGTAGGATTCATTGTGTGAAAATGGTTATTAGCATAGGGAGATAGAGATGATTTACATCGATTTATCCACACTTTTTTGGAAAATTATAAAATGGTTTAGATTATGGATAATCAATTATTTTTAATTATATATATAAAGGGGTTTTGTGATGTTTAAAATTCAATTGTATTGCGATCTTTGCTATTGATTTATTGCTAAGCTATGGCTAATAGATACAAAATAAGTCAGTGTACATTTATCTGGCTTCCTAAGTGATTTGATTTATATGTGACTCATTATTGGTAACAAACAAATGTGAACTACATTAAGTATATCATGTATATTATATTGAAAAAAACCTAATGGTCTACATCTTTTCCTGATGATAATCATGTATAATGTTATTATCTTAATTAATAAACAGAACACTTATTAGATGGGATTTGTGGAGATTTTAGAAATTTCACAAATTGAAATCATGAGTCAATCGAAGCCAGACCACCATGAAAAACCCGGAAGCACTGGACGGCCGTTTCGTCCTAGTATGGAACTTCTCAGCCGTGCGCATCCATGATCCCGCACCCTGCGAGATTCGAACCCAGGACCTATCAGTCTCGCGCCAGGAGTCCCATACTAGGACGGAACAGCCGTCCAGTGCTTCCAGGTTTTCCATGGTGGTCTAGCTTCAGTTGACTCATGATTTCAATCTGTGAAACAGAACATTTAACAATTTTATAATAATGTAGTATAAATTACTGTCTGATTGAAGAAAAACTCGAATCGATCAATTGGTATAGATATCTTGTTAAAAAAGTCACTAACTAAGAAGAAAGTAACTATAGCATTTTGTAACCAAACTTAACGGAAGCAAGAAAATATTTTTCTATCCACTAAGAAAAAAACTACAATTTCTGTGGAAACGTACTTCTTAACAATGTAACAGTAACTATGATAAATACATAGTTTCATTATTCCCTATGTCTAAAATATCTCATTTTAACTTTCCTTCATATTATATAGATAGTTTTAATTGGAACAAATGAATATCATTCAAAAAAGCATCTAAATGTGTAGTAATTCAATAATCCAGTGTCTTTTTTGGCGTTTGTCTCTTATACATGAAGAGAATTGCTTTAAAGCTAATAGCATGGATTTATTTTATGTCATTTAATCCTAGTCATTTAGTGAAAATATATTGAATCCTTCAATGCTAATAACTAGAAATGAATATCAACAAGCTTTTGCAAGAATAAACTTGATTGTAAATGAATGGCAGAATATAAATATGGTGTATCAAATATTATTAAAAGAACAAGGTACTCGTTATAGACTCTAACACTAGCCATAACCTGGCTTTACTGCAAAAATAGATAAACTTGCGTAATCAGTAGTTGATAATATTACTGTGAATAGTTTGAAAATATTATTTCAGAGATGAATTGCCGTTTGCTGAACGACGTTTCAAGCAGTCATCGTGGTATACTGTCAACTGTGGTGCAACTAAATTTTATTGAATTTCTAGGACTAATCATTTTGTAGTCCAACTGTTCATCGACATCTTTGATGAACATACTATCATTCCTCAATTCAGTGTCCTATCACTGATAAGTCGGAAAACATATGAGGGGAAGTAAGTTTTCACATGATATAATCTAACATTTAAAAATATCGATCTGATAATCTGGAAACTGATTAACTTACGTAATTGTTCCAAAGTTGGAAAATGCTGCCAACAAAGTTTCATCTTGCACTTCTGGAGCTAGATCTCCAACGAATATATGAAATGAATCTGAAACGGTAAAACAATGAATAAAATATACTTTCGTAAACTCTTCTACTCATCATAATCGGTTAGGCTAAACTGTTCAATATCTCGATTATAATTGTGTATCAAGTTACTATTTTAAAACATGAATTTATAGTATTTCCAACCAAAGATCTAGAGATTTGTGTGATATTTATGTCTTTTATTGTTTTGAGACATGTGCGACTGTGAAAACGAAGTAAGTTACTTCATAAAAGAACTTAGTGAATCACAAAAATGTAGAAATGATCAAATCATGGGAAATAGAGTTTTAACTGGTACTGTTGACATTATGAATAAAAACACTAGAGTTATATATTTTTTAAAAGTCATTAGTCAGTACTGATAATTTCTCATCGTGTTTTAAAAGATATTTTTGTAATTGTTTCCATGTAGCAGTTTTAGGTAATTATGTGACATACAATTATAATTTAAATGCTGATTCGGGTTTCAATCCATTACATAAGTTTCATTCTTACAAAGTTTTTTGGGTAATCCACATGCAAAATGATGTTGAGTTATGCACTGAAGCCAAAAACGAGCGTTCAGAGCTTCAGTTAAATAAGGCCATTTAGTAACAAAAACTGTCAACTTACACAACGGGCATGAAATAGGGTGGTTGGTAGCAGATAGGAAGAAGCCCAGAACTTTGTTGATATTCACCAACAATTATCACCTTTATTGTTGACAGAATTATGGTGTTAGTTCCCGCTTCATCAAGCTTCCTAACATTAGGTGACCATCGGTATATTCGTTAACGTAGCTATATTTCTTAGAATAACATTTTTTAATCACAAATGTACTCGCATTTAGAAATTCACAAACATAACATTGATATATCCTACAAGTTACAAACCCTTCCTAAGTAAATATCGATTTAATTATACACATTTTCATTCCTATTCATAAGATAGAAAACGATAAATGATACTTTAATCAAGAGCATTCTCCAGATTTCTAATCATTATATAACATTTGAGTCTACCTTAATATAATTACTCACATAGAATTGCTAAAGCATGAATATTATTAAGACGATTCAGTTAGAAACGTTAAATCTTCTCACCTAATAAATGAATTATACTACTGAACAAAGAGTGATTGTATTAACTGTATTATAACATTAATGCAATAATTTATTTGTATCTTTGACTATGATACATTTACTACTATGTTTTACTAAATTATTTAAAGATTCCACTAATGTCTACATTTTGCTGATTACCGAAAATTACTTACTATTACAAAGTGACATGTAATTGAATAGTTTCCTTTTGTATAGTAAATCATGTTGCTATATAAACTTTCCTGATATTTTGTTTATTCTATATTATGTCAATACTATATTCTGTTTATTATTTTGTCCATTAAGTAACCTTGATGATGTTAATAAAACCTTGTGAGTTATATTATCTAGCAAGTGAATATAACAACAAACTTTTGAGAAATTTCATACACATAGTTCCGTTTATCATTTTGAAAAGGGTAAGAATAAAGATTTGAGCAGAATAGCATGAATTCATTTAATTTTGTAGGTTCTCGTCAGCCGCTTACAACCTGTCATATTTGAAATGATAATTACGTAATGGGTTTAAACTACTGACATGAAAGAGTTAGGTTGGAAGTTATATTGAAGACATATTCGTATAGTATAACAAGGGTGTTACCGCTAACGGTATTTATAAATTCATGCATACCTGCCATAGCAGCTACATTGGCTGAAAGGAAAGCATATCTTAAATTTTTTGAACATGTTCCAAAACGTCTCAGAACAAGGGAAAGAAATACTAAACAGTGCAATCACCAAACATCTCCTTGATACAGAACATCAGGTAGATACCTTGCAATCTTTTAAGGTGATTAGTAAGCAGCCAATCTCCAGTGTTCTGAAGTTTGCTGAAGCCGTTGCCATCAGGCATCAAAAACCTGACCTATGTGTTGCCTTGGTGACAAATACTCTCTCGCTGCATGTTGAAAGTTTTTTCTCTTTCTTTAAACTGTTTACTGTATTTATTACATCATTGAGTCTTATTTCAACTATCTGCCAAATTAATAATCTTATTTTATCAACTGAGCTCTACTCACCATATTCCTATCAATATTTAATCATCATATAATCACTTGTTTCTGACCTTTTGAACTGTTGTCACAACCAATGTTGTAGAACGTACTCTCACATAAGGTATACATTTAGAATATTCCGTCTATTAATTTTATTTACACCCTTGCTATACTATACGAATATGTCTTCAATATAACTTCCAACCAAACTCTTTCATGTAAGTAATTTAAACCCATTATGTAATTGTCATTTCAAATATGACAGGTTGTAAGCGGCTGACGAGAACCTACGAAATTAAATGAATTCATGCTGTTCTGCTCGAATCTTTGTTCTTGCTCTTTTCAAACAAACTTTTGCTTAAATCATTTGGGCTTCTTAGAAAAAAGTCACTAGTTTCTTTCATAGAACAAACGATAAAATTCCTTTTTATGCATATTTTTTGTTATATTCTAATGAGTAGAAAAACTGTATTCCTGACGTTTACACTGAGGAGGTGACGTACATTAAGTCACGAAACGTCAGAAATATAATTTTTCTATTTATTAGGATATAACAAAAATATATTGATTGTTCACTCTTTACGCTATTCTCAATTTATTTGAAACTATCAAGTTCAGTCGTGGTATTGATACGTTTAAACTTATTATTATTTTCAAAAGGGGTTTTGTGGAGATTGTAGTAATTTCAACATTTGAGATCATGAGTCAATTGAAGCTAGACCACCATGGAAAACCTGGAAGCAGTGGACGGCCGTTTCGTTCTCAGCAGTGTACCTGAATATCTTTCACCAATGTTCAGTATATTTTAAATGTAACATATATGTGGAAAGAAAATGTTTGCAGATAAAGATTTCTAGTTATAACAGTGAATATATATGGTTTTATTCAGGGAAGGAAATTTGTAAAACTGACACATATCTTTCACATTTACTCTTAGATGGTGTAATTTACTTTCTGCTTAATTGTAAATGAAAGACTTCACTAAACTAATTGACTTTATCTTATAATAATGTTTATCTTAGTGTTCTTTAGTTAATTTGAACAACAATAATAATAATCTGTTTGTATTCATTATTTAAATCTTCCTATTCAGCTGATGAGTCCCAAAATAGAACGAAACGCACGCCTTGGATTCCACTTCTAACCACCATCCATCTTTGTTTAGAATAATAGTAATCAATTTAAAAAAACGTCTACTCAAACATGATATCCTATGATGATTCTGTCAAACAAATTGTTCATTATGACCTAGTGATAAAACATAATATATTTCTATTATATAATGAGATCAGCTCATCAACTGTTCGAAAACACTTCGATTTAATGAATAAAGTCATATCAATGAAAATGATTTATATATACGTATATATATATATATATATATATATATATATATATATATATATATATTAAATAAACAAACAATGTTTGATTTAATTGAAGTATTCCATGACAATAAATCTAGTTGGATAAAATTGTTCCCGGTAGACATTTATATCAATCAATTTCAAAATATCAATTGTTCATTTATATCAAATCTAAACAAAAAGAAAATTATGGTGATACTATAATGCTTGATATGTAATTTAATCAATACTAAGAAATAGGATATATAACCATCGTAACTGCAATATGAATAATTTAGTATTGTTTTATAAGTCTATTTTCCATATTAAGCAAGTTGATATAAAAAAGGTGTTTACGTTTTTGTTGTTGTTATTGCTCAGATGTAAATGAATAGCATATTTTAGTGATAGTAATAAATCGTTTATTAATTTACTCTTATATAGATACTAAATATAACATTAGGAAAAATCAAAAAAATTCTTTTTAGCTATCACCATAGTAACCGTCAGAAATTAGCGGTGATTATAATTATGTTTAAAATTTTAAGACAAAATGGGAATTTAAAAAAAACCATTGGTTTAAATGAAAAAAATCTTTAATAAACATATTGCTAAATTTATTATTGAAAATATTCTTAAAATGCAGTTATACTGAAAAAACAAAGAAACAATGAATAATGAATTAGATTTTTAAGCTAATTGGGATTCTTTTAAAAAGGAAAAACAAATAAACAAACATTTACATCATTATTGTTTATAGTAATAGCTTGCTGAATGAAGAGATTTCAATTTTGGATATAAATATAAACTAAAAATCTTTGGGTAATATTTAGAGAGAAAATAGGTACCTTATGGATAGATAGTGCTGCTATGGTTTGAAATGCTAATTAGTGCTAGTGATTTAAAAAAAAGTATCAACAGATTCACTTGGTGTTGTTTTAATTGTATCTTCCCATTGTTATTTAGGACTGCAATTGATTAGTCTCATGATGACATATGAGCATCCTATGCGGATTGCCTCAATGTAGCCTTAACTCACAAGCTTTTTTAAGCAAAGATGGATAGTGGCTAGCAGTGGAATTCAAGACGCGTGTTTCGTCCTATTTCAACATCAACTCTGAGATGCAGGTACATCCAGCTGACGAGTCTCAAGTAAAACAACACCAAGTGAATTTAAACTTCACCCCATTGCACGAGCAGGTAGCTATCAGGATAACGCGGTGGCGTTTGAAGCAAATGGTACTGGGTTCGAGTCCAAGAGTGAACATCAACTCTGAGATGCAAGTAAATTCAGTTGAGGAGTCCTAAATAGAATGAAACGAAAGTATTGACAGTTTTTGAATTGTTTCATTGCAAATCATTTATGTGACAGTGTCAGTCAACTTATTTAAACATAAAATTCTCAGAAAATTAGGTCACTGATTGTATATTTATTGCTGAAAATGCTTCAATGAAATGAATTATATGTATATTGTGAATCATTTTCATGTGTTTTGTTCTAACCATTTAAGGGTTTATAAAATATGTCAATAAACATTTTGTAACATATTTTACAATTAAATTCATTTTGTACTGTTT